AAAGCCCAGTGCTCCCTGACTGCTTGCAGGACTGACTTGCACTGGCAAGTTAGAGCCTGTCTCCTGCCCTGCATCCCACAAATGCTTTGTTGAAATTGCTTGCCTCAGGCTGCTTCTTGAGCTCCTTCAGCAATATAACTGGCCCCTGCTTTGAACAGAAGATAGCCAGGCACTGTGTGACCTCCCTGTTTAAATCCCATCTCTGGAGAGGAGAACAAAGCACCCTTACCAAAGATGTGCCCCCACATCTCCTCTGAGGAGCTGGCAAGAGCCCATCACCCAGGAACAGCCCTGGGAAGACACGTTTGCTGTAACCGTGACTTCATGCAGTAGGAGAGGTGTCACCCCAACAGGCACCATGGCCTGCAGCACATGCCCAGGGCTGACCTTGTGCCCACCCCTGCTTATGACTCCCCATAAAGGCGCATTTGTGCTGGAGCCAAGTGGCACAGAAGCCTCTGCATGCCATCATCCTGACTCATGGACAGGACTGGCTGCTCCCACCTATCCCACAGCCCTGCCAAGCTCAAAGGCTCCTCAATAGATGCTGAGGGAAGGTCACTTTGGAAGACTTCTTATGATAGGGCTCACATGACCCCGAATTTGAGAAACCCTCCAGTCACTTTCTTTCCACTGTTATCCCTTTGCCCAAATGCTGCATCAGCCTTCTTTGCAGGGGAAAAAGAGATGTGCAGTTTCCTGTTCGTGATTCCAAGCTCAAAGCCTTGTGCTTTCAGCTGTATTGGCTTCGTGGCAATCACCTCATGTCCCAAACCCCAAGCTCTATCGTGCCATCTGCTCCAGTCTGGAAAGCCAGAATGGCATTTCCCCTTCTATACCCATGTGATGGGGCAGGAAACGTTGCCAAATCACTCAAAATAAGCAAGGTGTCACCTAGCTTGTCTGCAATATCCCCTGCAGACTGGCTGCAACCTTCCTGTTCCCTGAGCCTGAGCACTCACCTCCACATTGTACTTCTTGCGAGCCTTGCCCACTTTCACCGCAAGGTGCAAGACCAAGAAGAAGCTGGCAGCCCCTGTCAGGATGACGTAGCCATACTCCTTGGAGAGAACAGCCATGCTGGTGCTGTCAGAGCAAGAGAGCTTGTTACTATTTCAGGGCACGACTGGAGAAGTAACAGCTCAATACATGCAGGTATGTGTGTGGATGACTTGCTGAATATGGACCCAAGACCTCCCAGCACAGACTGGCTGAAGGAAAACAGAAACAGTGAGTTGAGGATTTTTTCCTTGGTGCCTGCTGGCTATTAAGCAGCACAAACCAAGGGCTCTCTGAACAATTCCTGTCAAGTAAGCCTTAAAATGGCGTAAGTGTTGGTGGGAGGTGGTGTATGGAGCACCCGAGTTCTGCCTCTGGCTCAAAGCATGACTACAGCCAACAGTAGGTTCCATCAGCTCTGGCTGTGGCTGGCTAAGTCCTATCAACTCACTGACACTGTGCTGTGCCCACCCAGACGTTCTGGAGAGGTGGACGGGAACTGATTGTTCACAACCACTTCAACGCCAGGGCTAGGGACTACCAAATGAAGTCAGGAAATAGATCTGAAAAAAGCCAAAAAGTGTTGTCTCATGCAGTGAAAAGCAGACCTGTGGAACACCCTGCTGAGGGATGCTGCCAGTGCAGGCAGTTTTCATAAACTCAAGGAGAAACTAGGCAAGCTCTGGGAATAAGAGGTAAATTGGGAATTATAATACAAACAAACACACATTGGCTCAGAAATCCCCTGAGGTGAAAGGAGCTGGGCTACATGAATAGTTAGTTTGTACCACTAAGGTCAACAATAAAACAATAATAAGCCCCACCACAATAGCAATATCCACCAAACCTTTCTGGTAAAGAGGCACTGGCCAGATGAGTGATGTTCAGCCCCATGGCTTCAAGTGACCCTCTCAAGGTCACAAGTCAGCGAACAGCCTGCTACAACATGCAGCTGCTGGCATTTACCAACATCTGCACAAGCAAGCCTGCCAGCCAGGAGATGCCAGGGCCCATGTGGTTTTCATTTAATGGTTCTGCACTTCCTTGTGCAGGCCTCATGCACAAGCATGAAGCACAGGGGGCATCCAGCAGCCTCTCCCACGCTGCCTGCAGCAAGGCTTTGTTGCATGCTTCTCCCTCCTTCCTGCTGCCCATTCTGCTGGTCCAGCCTGTGCTGCTGGGAACTGCTCAGCACCAAGCGCCTTGCCACCCTCCCTGGCTGCAAGTGAGCACAAGGGTCCTTCCCCATAACCGTCTGCCATGGGTCCTCTTGCACAATCCCAAACCCCAGATCTTGTCTGCCTGTGTGACCCAAGACAGCGCTGCATAATGAGCACAGCAGAAAACAGCAGAGACCTCTCTCCAGCATGGAGGTGACTCCCTCTCCAAGCCAAGCCCAGCTGATGCCTGTCTTCATCCAGTGCCTCCATGATATAATCAGGTTTTGGTGTCTCCTGCGCTATCGCAACAGCACAAACTGTCAGTGTGGGGAAAAATGGGCCACCTCATGGAACCGGTGCAAACAGCCTCCCTACTGCAGCAGCACTGGCCCTCCTCCCCTCCAAGGGATCTTAGGAATCAGAGGGGTTTATTTCTCATTTGCAAAGGGATTATTATCAATGGAGCAAGAGGAAGACAACAGCTAGCTTTGTCCACATGAAGTCTGATACACAATTATCAATAAGAACATTGAAATCCTAAAGTAACAAGTCAGCTGAACTTACACGTAATAGAGGTTAGCACCTGACAGATGGCACACTGGAAATAGAAAGCATTCCCACTCAATAAAGTAAGTTGATTGTCACGTTTCTCTTTCCAGATTACAAGGCTGGTGGAGAACACCTGCCAGCCACAAGAACCAGGCACTTTATCTTCACAGTGCTAAATTACAGAATGAAGTTTCATCTTCGCAGCAAAGGCCACAGCAAGCATTAAGCCAGGTGTATTATAAAGTCGCTACTCTTACCCTGTTGGTATAAATCTGCACCTGAAACCTTTGCTCTAGTAATTTGAAGCTGCATTAAGCACTCCAAAGTCAACAGGACTTTTACCATTTCTCTGACTGCATGCCTAGTGCCTGGTTCTGGTCCCTCGAGTATTTCAGCAGCCTTTGTCTGCAGTTGCAAGGACTCTGCTGACAAGCACTGGCATGGCGCACAAGACTGAAGTTATATCTTCCATGCAGGGATGCTTCAAACCAGGGCCACATGACCAAGAGATTCTGGAGCATGACACCGCTGACCGGGAGCTGTAGCTGAATTGCTCCTGGGGATGCTTTTACTCCAGATCAAGATCAAGTTTGCCATACCCCTACAGTTACTATGAGTCAGCAAACCTCAGCAAGTCGCACCGTGCAGAAGAGCGCTTGGGTTCTGCCTGCACTACCCGACAAAAGCTGAGGCTTTCAACTCAGGAGAGCCTTTCGACCTCTGTCGGCAGGCGAGCACGCAGGTTTAGCTCCACAGGCAGTCTGCAAGCCCCGCGGCTAGGGTCCGGCTCTGAGCAAGCTGACCATGCTGGGGTGCAGACAAGGCCCCGCCGCATCCCGCTCACCCTGCAGCGCTTCTCCCCGAAGACTGCTCCCGGGGGTAAATCAGGGAGGAGGGTCACGGGGCCCGCTGTATTCTTTCTGTCATCAGTCAGGACAGTCACATAATAAATAAGCATGCATTCGGAGCGCTCCCTCCCCGCCGCGTTCCCCGCTGCTGGAGGGGCGAGCTGGGGCCGGCGGCCCGCACTCACCCTGCGGTGCCGCGCAGAGGAACTTAGCGAGGAGCGTCCGAAGGCGGAAACGCAGTCGCGCCCAGGGCCGGGTCTGCCCGCGGCACCGCCTGCAGGCGGGACTCCGCAGTGCCCGACCCCTCGCTGCAGGCGGCGCGGCGCGGGGCGGTGCTCACCCACTTCGTGGGGCTCTCGGCTGTGGTCTGAGGGGTGAATTGAACGCGGAGCCACGTGGCTCTGCGGAGGGTTCTCCCGTGCAAAAGCCATCATGAGGTTTGCTGAGGGGGGTACCTGTTCTACCCGGTAGTTCTGCATATGCGACCCCAGCACACTGGCATGCACTGCTGTGTCCACTCCTAATCATTTTTGACATACCGATTATACCCAAGACAAAGACCACAGCTTTGATTTGCAGTCTACAGTTTAACGTCCCTAAGAGAGTATACCATGCTTCCTGAAACCTTCAGCTTTTTCCTTTCTGTTTCACCAGATCCTGCTAGTACTGGATGAAGAAGCAGTATTTCACATGTCAACATACTTGGTCATGTAAATAGATACTTTTCTTGGCAATTGCCAGTGTTAAGAGATATGAAGGATCTTATTTAGCATTTTCTCTGGTCTGTGTATGGGACTTTGGCATTGAAACACAAGCCATTTCCAAGAATACTTAGAGTGTGTGTAAGTCATGTTTTTTTACATTAGTTTTTGAGATACATGATACAAAACTGAAGCTGAACTCTGCAGTTCTGTCAATGTTCATAACAACTGGTGGAGTTACAAGGGGTGCGGCTGCAGGGGGACAGATGATGTCTTTCGCTGTCACCAGTGTAATGGGCAAGCAAGACCCGGTGGGATCCTGGGCCCCTAAAAGTACTGGATTTAACCTCTTTGCTCACGTACTTGCCTTTCCACAGCAGAGAGTTCTTGGATTCCCTGGAGCTCCAGTAGGCTATTTAGGCTGGTCCCAGTAATCTCTGCTGGGCTTTCTGGCCAGGGGGGGCTTGGTGAACCCTGTGGCTAGAGCGCAGTGCTGGGGCCTTTCCCATGTCTCAGATCATACCTCTTCCAGCAGGTCCCTATGGCCCTGCTTTTCTGTGGCCTCATGTTAAAGCAGAAGTGTAAGTGCCTGGCACTGTCCACACCTCTCAAGCACTGCACCCAAATGAATATTTTGCAGTGTCCTGGTTGTGAGTGGAAGAAGACAAGTAGAGGTAGCACAGTGAGTGGAACTGGGGCAGACTTTCTTCTCTTGCAGTTTTATTTCACTTCAGGAAAAAACAAAACAAAACAAAACAACACAAAAAACCACTGAAGTGGGACATCATGTGAGAAATGAGGCAGGAAGGACCTGCCTTCAGTTCCCATGAATTCAGAAAGATTTGTAGGGTAATCCTAAGTGACTGTGTCTTCTTCCTCCTCCTCCTCCTCTCCCTTTGAAATGTGGACTTCATAGAAGACAGCACAGATGCCAGCCAGCCAGGCTGCCATGGTGCCGGCAAAGAATATGCAGAAGCCAGCGAGACACAGAAAGATGTAGTCTTGCTTGTACAGCTGGGTCAGACAGTTGAAATGGAGCTGTGCTTCCACTGCAGGCATTTTCAGAGCACGCAAGCTTTCTGGGGTATAGCAGGTGACATTGTCAGCATCTGCAGAGGGAAAAGCAGAAGCAAGACTCTTGCCTGTGTCTTAAGTGTTAGTGAACAGGAGTCCTGCCAGAAAAATGATGGAGGAGAGTGAAAAGTGTTTACAGATTTCACACCCCTCTCTCTCCATGGTTGAGGTAAAACCAGACAGGCAGATCCTTGCCAAGCCCTTGCCCGACCACAACTGCCAGATTGCCTGAATGATTTTTGTGGTGTCGTCTGCATACATAGGAACATACTGCCTGTTGGATTGTGCCACTGTGGCAGACTGCTGTCCCTGCATTGCTTATCTCTGCTGATTAAGCACTTTTATTTTAATATGAGAACTTGTGTGGGTTTTTTTAATCTCAAACACCTTCTGAAGGGATACGGTCTAAATTATGCTGGAATAACGAGGCTTGTGTGCATTTGACAATTAGAGTGTTTTGCAGTTAGGCATGAGAAACTAGTGGTTAGTGGTTTGCATGAGAAACTTAACGTGAGCCAGCAGCGTGTGCTTGCAACCCAGAAAGCCAGCCCTATCCTGGGCTGCATCAAAAGGAGCGTGACCAGCAGGTCGAAGGAGGTGATCCTGCCCCTCTGCTCTGCTCTTGTGAGACCTCACCTGGAGTACTGTGTGCAGTTCTGGTGTCCTCAACATAAAAAGGACATGGAACTGTTGGAACAAGTCCAGAGGAGGGCCATCAGGATGGTCAGGGGACTGGAGCACCTCCTGTATGAAGATAGGCTGAGAAAGTTGGGGCTGTTCAGCCTGGAGAAGGCTACGGGGAGACCTCATAGCAACGTTCCAGTATCTGAAGAGAGGCTATAGGGATGCTGAGGAGGGACTCTTCATTAGGGACTGTAGTGATAGGACAAGGGGTAACGGGTTCAAACTTAAACAGGGGAAGTTTAGATATAAGGAGGAAGTTAGGGTGGTGAGGCACTGGAATGGGTTGCCCAAGGAAGTTGTGAATGCTCCATCCCTGGCAGTGTTCAAGGCCCAGTTAGACAAAGCCAATATGGGGTGAGGTGTCCTTGCCCATGGCAGGGGGGTTGGAACCTGATGATCTTAAGGTCCTTTCCAACCCTAACTATTCTATGATTCTAAGGCTGAGCATGGTAAACCCACCATCTCCTTCTGGTGGCTGTGGAAGCACAGGGCTCTTGGCTGTAGCTCTCCCCTTGCTGGGCAGGTTTTGTGTTCCCCAGAGCAGACCCAGGCTGGTCACTACTTGATGCATGGGATAGATGGGCCTGAGGGAAAGGGAGCAGTGGAGAGGAGGAGGAGGGTTCAGTGTGTTATCTCTGATCTTACTGCTAAGATCAGTAACAGTACTTTATACTGTTCCGTAACTGCCTGAAACTTGCATGTGGAAAATAAGAAACTTTGCTGCCTATAGGGAACTTACTACATCTAATAAGCCACAGAGATGTCCTTAATTTGGTTCTGTCTTAAGATCAGCTTCCATTTGCCCTTCCCTTTTTTCTCCTTGGGCTCTTTTGTGGCCCCTTCTTACTCAATGGACAGACTTTTTCAAACAGTTTCTCTTTTGCTGATTTATCTCTATTGTGAAAGACATTTTCTGAAATGGCATTACTGAAAGGCAAGCTTTCTTCATCAGTATGTGCTCTGCTGTGCTCCTTGGTGGTTTGGAAGAATGGAGTTCATGTGCAGCTGCAGAGCAAAGCTTTGCCCTTGGGACCAGTGTTTTCCTGGGAAAGGGAACTGACAGTTATCCTGCCTCATAAACACTCAGTGTCTATGGCCCAGTTGCAGAATCTCTCAGTACGGCAGGAAACAGCTGATTTTGGGATCCCAGGTGATGCGAAGAAGTCTTAGAGACTCTCTTTTCAAGAAATAGCTTTTGTTCAGCAGCAAGCTGCACTGTGCTGCTGCAGCTCATGGGACTCAATGCTCACTTGCATTATGCATACATTTCTTATTTTGGAAAAGATAAAAGAGTGCAAATTTCCTTTGAGGTGCTGGAGGAATAGTGGGAACCATATGGAGCCTCCCAGACATAAGGATACAGATGTTTTTCTCAGCATAATTTGTGTTCTGTTTCACTCTGACCATGAAATGTCAGCAGGGACCCAGACCAGAGCTCCCATGGGAACAGTAAAATGTCCTTCTCTGACTTCCGAGCATTGGGTCACATTTGGTACAGAGAATCAGTCAAACGTACCTGCTCTGAGGGCTGAGGAGCACATTCACAGCTGGAGGTTGCAGTATTTGTAATTTTTATCTGTCTTAGCATAACAGCTGCTATGCTATTAAGGCAAAGTACTCTTCATGTATGGTAAAGGGCCATCAGGGATAAGGGTGTGATCACAGCACCATAAGAAGTCAGCAGCAAAATTCTCACTGGCTGCCACACTACTGCAACTTTTCCCAGAGACTATGTCAGTGAAAGATGACAGCACAAGAGCTGACTGGCTTTCAGCCTGGCTTTGTTTTCAGCATTGAGTGGAATTGCTGCTTGTAGACGTTGTGTGGATGAGGTCTGTCTGCCAGGGACACTGTGTGGGAAGAGGCTCGCAGAAGGTGTTTGGGGTGTAAGGAACACTGGTGGATGATGAGAGGTCAGGGCTGGAAAGGCTGCCCCGAGTGGATCAGAACAGAGGCAGCATTTCTGCAGAGAGAGGGGGCTTAACTGATCGTTACACACAGCTGATGCTGTAGCAGCACTAAGCGATCAGAGCAGGAGATGAGGCAGAGAATTCAGCACCAGTTTTCCTAGTGTTTATTCCCCAGAGCAGTGCTGGGTTTCTCATTCTTGGCACTGCTGTGACTTGCAGGCACCTTCTGAGGCTGAAACCAGCCATTTTAAAGCAACAACAATGTTCTAGCTAAAAGGTCCACTTTCCTGCCTGTCCTGAGGGTGTGAGCAAGTGTGGCTCTGTGGGTGGAGCACATGTAACTCAGCTGCTCTTGTTTCTGTTTTGTGCAACACCAGAGGATGGGACATGCAGCAGCACACACCTGAGCTGAAGTTTTGGGAAAGAGAACAGAGGGCCCTTTCCATTCCACAAAGATCTGCAGTAGGGAGAAGAGAGGTCCTGTTCACAGAGCCCTCACCTGGAAAATGAATGTTGCTCTCTGTCATCCAAGCGACGAAGTCCAGAAAGGAACAGTTGCAGTGCCACAGGTTGTTACTGAGCCCCAGAAACCTCAGGTTGCGCAGGTCTTGGACAGTGCTGGTGTCTAGGAATGTTAAGCCTGTCCGGCTCACATCCAAGTGCCTCAGCCAGGTGTTGTTGGCAAAAGCATCCTTCTCAATGGCCACAAGGCTGGGATTGTTTGAGATCTTCAGTACCACCAGGCTGAGGAGGTGTGAGAAGGTGCTGAAAGTGACCTGTGTGAGACTGTTGAAGCTGAGGTCCAGATAGACAAGTTTGGCCACACCAATGAAAGTGAAATCCAGGTCATGCCCTAAGAGGTTCTTCTTGCAGTCCAGATAGACCAAGTCAGTCAGGAAGCTCAATTCCACTGCTGGCAGGTAGGAGACATTGTTTTCTGCCAGAATCAGCTGCCTGGTATCCAGCGGGATAGCCTCAGGGAACTCCTGCAGCTGCTGCCCTGTGCAGTTCACTTCCAGGTACTGACAGCTACAACTTCTTGGGCAGTTGATCCTCTCTGATGCCATCCCCATCCCTAAAAGAAACATGAGGCTCAGGGGCTGTGGTCTACCTGAAGGAGACATGGTCTCAGACCTTGCAGACTGCTCAGCCTTTTGGGGACTGCAAGGAGCCCTATGGAAGCTGCGTTACTGTCACAGCCATGCCAAGGAGATGTCTGGCTGCAAGGCTGTCAGGAAGCACTTTGTGTCCGTGACTTACCTGACTCTTTGGCAGGGCGCCCAGCTGGAAACTGAGCCAGGTTTCTGGGGCAGAACAGTGGCTGGAGCTTCTCCATATCACCCTTGGTGCCAGTTGACACCTCTGTATCAACAGCTTGCAAAAGCTGCCTAGCTTCAGGGGCAGTGCTGCGACCTTGCTGGCTTAGCGGGTGCTGCTTTCAGCTGGAGCTGCAGAAGACACGTGCATTGGATGAGAGCATCAAAACTGCGCAAAACATGCGTGTACAGTGCAAATTTTGTCACAAATGGTGTCAAACTGCAAGAGCTGCTGACTGGTACTAATTAAGTGAGAGCCCTGTGCAATGCTGCACTGGATTGGCCTTGACTCCTCTGAGGAGTCGGGAGAAGGTAACTAAGGAGTTTTTTTCAGAAGCATTTTTACCAAGGACAAGTTTTCCCCAGGTGCCTCAGTTCCCTCTGACTGGCCATGCTGCTCCTCTGCCTGCCCACCCTTACGCAGGAGGACCTGCCCTGCCCCTGGGAGAAGGCCTCCGGTGGTAGGTACCCTTGCAGCGTTTAGCACCACAAGCCGGCTGCTGGCGGCCTTCCAAACCCCCTAGCCAGAGAGGTGCGAGGCCACCACCGCTCCCCCGGCTGCCACAGCCATGACAGCGGCTCTGCGGCTGCAGGGACCCAGCAGCTCCATTCCCCCCAACCGCCTCAGGCGGCCCCACCCCAAGCCACCAACGGCCGCCGCGCGCTGGGGCCTAACCAAGGCCCGCCCCCTCCCGCCGGCGCGGTCGCGGATTGGCCATCGGCGTATTGCGTGTGACGCGGCGCTGTGGCGGGGGAGTTACCCGCCATATTCAAGCTGAGGGACCGTTGGCGGTGTTGTGATAGCCCTGCGCCGGGATGGAGATGCTTACTTTCCCTCAATACAGCCCCGACGATATCATCACTTACCTCCGCGGCCTCATCCTAACCGGCGCCGAGGCCCGGAACCTGGTCAAGGGCGACGTGTTCGGCAACCCCAAGGTGCGTGAGTGTGTTTGGAGGAGGCTGCGGCCTGCGGTGGTGGGGCGGGAGTGGCAGGAGGAGCCCATCCGTGGTAGTGCTCAGGGTCGGGTTGGACGGGGCTTTGGAGCAACCTGGTCTAGTGGAGTGTGTTCCTATCTGTGGCAGGGGGGTTGGAACTAGATGATCTTTAGGGTCCTTTCCAACACAAACTATTATATGATTCGAAATAGCCAGGATGATAGGCTAGAAAGTTGATAATTACTTTGTTACGGTACCAGGTGCATGGGAATTTGCTCTGCCTGTTATGCACATCAAGAAGAGACAGATTACATCTTATATAGCTGTATTATGCACGTATTAATCATAAGTCCATGAAGTGCCCATCCGATTCTTGTTACTCATTGCATATGATAATTTGGGTAGATAAGGCCGTGGTGCAGGTGCTGTGAATTTGAGGAGTGGTCTCTGAGGATTGTGGTAGACTACTGGGGAGAAATATCCCCACTCATTTTACCTTTATTATGGAAACCTGTTAGTTAAGAACATTGGAAGGCTTATTTAGTTTTGCCAATTAAGGACATGTTCTTGTTTGGGTGTATTTACCACCCTGAGAGGCTCCTTTAGCTGTTTTCTTTTGCAGCTATTTATCTGTTTCTCAGGCCTTATCAAAAAGAGAAAGACCCACATTGATTCGAAAGAAGACATCTGGTCCTCTTGTTCTATGCCCTCATTACTTTGAGAGTCCTTACAGCCTTGCCCATATGTCTCTACACAATGAAGTACTTGTTCAGTTTGTTATTAGGTGTTTTCCCCAGCTTGCATGGTCTTTGGTGTGAAGCAATGCCTTCTAAGTGAGGTGATTTGCTTTTCTGATGCGGCAGGTTAGTCTTGTGAGAGTGCCAGGGTTAAACCTACAGCTCTCTTCAGCTTGAGAGAAGCTTGCTCAAGTCTCAGCAGGAAGGGGGTGAGGGTTTGAACATGGACATACATGGAAGTAAACAACCTGTCTTTCTCGGTTCTGTGGGAACTAGGTTAAAATAGCTACTGTTTAGTACAGTGTCATAGTTTCAACAGCTTAGTTGATCACCTAATGCTTTTCAACCAATGCTGTAAAAAAAAAAACCCCAAAACCTCCCCCAAAACCCAGCCCCTCCATGCTCCACCTTTTTTTTTTTTTCTTGTATCTGTCTGACTATTTGTGTTAGAACAGACTTCTAGTGTCCTCAACAAAAGTGAAGTGACTTTAAAGTTGAATTGATGTACTGTGTGATTCCTTGTGCTGTTAGGTAAGTGCTTGTGCCTGCTGGAGGAGGCTGGCCCTGCTTAGTTAGGGAATGATGGGGTGATTGTTTTTAAGAAGTGAAATTGATTTGAATTGATCATGGTGAATTCAGTGCTGTAAATGAATAACTGGTTTGTAGGTATTTTCTGCCACTCCATTTTAATAACATGATGAAGGGTGCCCTTGCTAGGGGATTTATACATGCTATGACCTTTTTCAGAATTTGGTGTCACCTGTTTTGAAAACTGCTCCGTGGGCAGCAGTATAATGAGAAACAATGCATAGCTGTGGTAGGTAGGGCTGTAGTTGTCCAGGCTGCTTGCTGTCTCTTATAACTGTATTATGAGATAGTAATGCTTGAACTCCAAACTATTGGAAGGTAAAACTTGTTAGTCTTGCTGGCTCTTGTCATAAAGACTTGTCAGTCTTCATGGCCTGGTCTGGAAGCCCTGAATAATAAATCATATGGAATAAACAGTATTTATTCATTAAGAACTGTAGTGATAATATAAGGGATAACAGGTTAAAACTTAAACAGGAGAAGTTTAGATTGGATATAAAGAAGAAATTCTTTCCTGTTAGGGTGGTGAGGCATTGGAATGGGCTTCCCAGGGAAGTTGTGAATGCTCCATTCCTGGTGGTGTTCAAGGCTGCCAGGTTGGACAGAGGCTTGTGTGACATGATTTAGTGGGAGGTGTCCCTGTCCATGGCAGGGGGGTTGGAACTTGATGATCTTAAGGTCCTTTCCACCCTTAACTATTCTATGATTGTAATACTGATTCATGTCTTCTTGCAGCTTGAAGTTTTACATATGATTTACATGAGAGTCCTGCAGAAAGTATGTGGAATCCGCCTGGAGCATTTTTACATGGTATGTTGGTAGTGGCAGGTGCAATGAGATGTGAAAGAAATAATTGCACATAATAAATTAAATGTTGGCTTCATCTTCTCACTATCAAATTGGAAGTAGTTTACTGTTCTGTATATTGTCATTGCATGAGTGGTATCTTGGTATGGGTTGTTTACCATTGGTTGTTTACCAGGTTGTAAACAAACCTGGGAGCATCATGTGTGGGCTGTTGCTGGGGCCTTGCTGATCATGTCTGAGAAGTTGCTTTGATCATTGTTCCTGGTGTAGAAGTTGGCTTCAGCTCAACATACTTGTAGAAATAGTGGTTTTGTGGGTGTGCTGCCTCTGGGTTGTTTGTTTATGTATTATTCATGGAAAGGAGACTCCCTTTTCCACTAGCGAGATTAGTGGGCATGAAAAGGAGCTCACTTACACTGTTGGCTATAAGGACAGGCTTTGTGGAGACCCCTCTCCTGCAGTTAAGCTGTGAAGCGGGTGCTGGAAATGTCTGTAATGTCCAGGAGGGATTGGACAAGCTTATGAAGGAACACCATCTCTGGCCTTGAAAACATGTACTTGCTCCTTAGGCATCTGCCTTTAGTTCTGGCTGGAGGGAAGATCTTTGCTTTGCTTAGGTGTTAGACAGGTATACGAGGAAAGTAGATATTGCTTTTAATGTTTTATCATGTCCACTTTAACTGAGAGGAAAATAAGGAGAAGTGCAGCTGGATGTTAACTGTTACCTTGTTGATTAACAATTTATCTTCTGTCTGTGTTAAACAAGAACTGATTCCTAAGTGAGGATAAATAGTAATGTCTTACGCCATTTTTGAATAAACTGAGAGGAAAGATAATATATGCACAAGATGTCATTGCCTCTAAAGAATCAAGTTATTAACTGGGATACTAATACAGTATGAGGCTTAAAATATGAGAAATGGGTAGCCATGTACCACTCCTGCTGCCTTCTGATTTCTTAATAAAACGGTTGAGTGTGTGAATTTCAGATGCTTAAGGGAAGAGCTTTTTGGTGTTAGGTATGTAATGCTGAAATTGTTCTTCTGCACCAGTTTTGAACAAAATAAAATGGAGGGTTTCGATTGAATTCCAGAGTTTGTAATGTTGCTGCCTCAGTTACTATTGTCATCTTACAATTTGACCAGCCAAAACTGACACTTAAAATAGTTTGCTGGTTAACTTGATGGCGTTCTTCAGCCTCTAACTTGTGTTCCATATGGAGATGGGGAGACCATCCTTGGTGTTTAACCTCTTTGAATTATCTTCTGTTTTGTAAACAGACCTGTGTAGTTTTTGTTTAAATATTCTATACTTATGCATTGACTCTTCATTTTTTAGATGCCACTCAACACGGGTGTAATGTATCCACAGATATTTGAAGGCTTTCTACCCGTTTGTAACTTGTATATTCACATGTAAGTAGAAGATGCTGCATCTGTTCAGTTGCAATTCCTTTTAAAGGTCCAATTTACCAAAAGTAGTGGGGCTTTATGCCTTTTTGCTGATGCTGGTTCCACTGTTGGTTCTGAGCAATGTGAAATTTGCAGATGAAGAGGGGAGAGCAGTATTTAATAGACTAAAATTCTCAGCAGGCAGCTACCTTGTCAAAATGAATGTGTTAACTAAATAATCCGGCCTTGCCAAGATGGATATACTTTGGCTAGAAGTTCATCATTACGCCTAGAAGAGGGATCTTAAGTACCTATTGTTTAAACTTGCTGCCTGAATCCTGTGTAGATTCTTTGTTGAAATGAGGTGAATGTTAGACTTTAAGCTTAGTTTCAGTTGTAAAGGGAGAATTGACTAACAGTTAAGTGTAGGAATTCTTGATTAGTGTAAGAACATGTTCTAAAGGCAAGTATTTTGTCTATAGCAAACTTTGTGAGATGATATACAAATTTTTAATGCTGATCAATGTGTGGAGTTCTACTGTGTGATTCTTCTGAGACTTAATGTGATCTGTGCTTCCTGTATGTATGCTCTGGGGTTAGAGGGACAAGATCCATTTTGTAGTAAGTGGATATAGCACAAAAGCAGAATAATGGTTATTGCAGATAAAGTTATACTTTGTTTTCCTTGCAGGGAGCGGTTACTTCCAGTGTGCCAGATTAATGATTTTCAAATTGCTGATGTGTTAAACCCAAGTAAGCAAGAGCACTGTAATCTTTGTGTGTCCTGGGGTCTTAGGTGTTGCTTGATCTCCAGTTGCTTTATCTCATATGGCATAGCCAGATGGGCATCTAGTATGGGGAACTGTTCATGGCTTCCATCTTCTGATGGTTGCTGTGGCCCTTAGACAAGCTGGTTCTAATGAGCAGTTCTTCTCTTTATGTATGCTAATCCAGTTAAGTAATTGAGGGGAGTTTTGAACGCTAGAAGTCTGTTTAACTGCTGGCCTAAAGAGTGGACTGTGACATACTTGAAATGCTGTAAGAATAGATGATAATTAAAATTACCCTTGCAGCTATGGAATGCCATAGGATTTATTATGCTGATGCTTGTGTAGGA